TGCTGCTGTTAAAACATCCAACTTTCGCTCCTCCCCTCGACAGTTAGCAGAGCACAGCAGACAGTCTGCTGGTTTGGTGTCCTCCGTGCCGATCATCTCCAAACTGCCGACGTTACTTCTTCTTCTACCGTCATCGTTCTTCTTCTGTTATTCGGGGGTGCGGTCGAAAATAACTTGTCAGTGCATTAGCGCCACCGCCTGGTATGATTTGTTGTTTACCCTTTGTGCAGCGCAGCACAGGAGGGGACAAAAGCGGTATCGGTTAAGAGTATCGGCCGGCTTTTGCGAGTACGAGTACTTGATGCTGGTATCGGACCCCTAACTTCAATACTTAGTCTCTCTGTGAAGAAAACCCAAATTTTGTTGTATTCTGGTGCAGTGACAATAAAGGTTTAATCCAGAGGTTTTCAATGTTGGTGTTGCGGACTCTAGTGGGGTCGCAAAAGTACTGATGGGGGGTCGTGAAAAAATTTTTTTATGAAATTTTTATTTTTTTCAAGTAATGACTTTAAACGCACATTACCATGAATCCAAAAAATTGATAAATAGAGGCAAAAATCTTGTATTTCAGTCGTAAATGCACACATTCAATGAGCACAGCGGCTGAATTCTGCTCCATGCATTCTGCACTGAAAGAGAAGGACCCGCCCCTCACCAGCATACTAAGTAAGGGTCTCTGCAGTACATGTTGTCCTGTGGGCGGAGATGGCCCTACCTGTGATCGGTGGAGGTAGGGCTGCGCGGTATATGCGGTAGATGGTAGAAACGGTATGAAGTTGGCCTACGGTAGATATTTACCCTCCTATCATCATTATGTCATCGCTCCTGTGTCAGCATGACTGTGAGTGCAGAGACAACTGAGCAGGAGTTTGAAATATAATGAAGAAATTCTAGCGTTTTAAAACATGCATAGAGAGGATAAATCCTCAAAATTCCCCCTCCCGCTGCAGAAAAGTTACGTCGTGTCACGGGATCATAATCTCTCCCTCCTGCTGCACGTCACGCAGAGCGAAGCTTCAACTACCGTAGTTTTTTCACACCCACGTTGTCGTAGAAAAAAACTTGTTTTTTATGTATTGTTACCCACAGAGATGATAAAAAGATGTGGACGTTCGTTCAGTCATAAATCCATCTTGATAATGTCGGCTTCTGCTCTGAGAGAGAAGAGCAGCAGTGTCAGTTCAACAGGCTCACGGTATGGCAGGCCGATGTTGCATTTATTTGGCTTCACCACGCTTACATTCCAGTTATCTGAAATTGCTTTATGACTAGATTAGACATATTAGTTATTTAGGATAAAATAATAAAATATTTTCTTTTATTATTTATGTTTTGTTTTATTTACTTATTTTTTTTAACTTAGAGATCTTTCCAGCTTGATCTTGTTTGTTTGTTGAAGTTGATTTTTGAAAATAAGGGGCACATATGATAGTTTTTTTCACTCTGCACCCTTTTAATTCAGGGTAGAATTCACTTTATTTTAATGGTGTACATAGATTGTTTTGTTTCTATAAATGAAAGAAACAAACAAATAAATAGACATCTCTTGATATATTTTGACAATTCAAAATACCTATTTAAGATATCTCTAATTATATTCTGACTAGTAAATAACGTCAAATATATCATTAAGTTGTATGGAGACTCCAGTTCAAGATATCTTAAATGTATCTTTAGATATGAGATAGACTATGTAAGATTTAATTAATGCGAATTGCAGATTTTCATGTTCTGTAAATTGTGTAAATTGTATTTTATCAAATTTTGAACATTTTTGTTTCGGGCAGGTAACAAAAAATGTCAGCTGCTCGACAAGGTAGGTAAAGAAAAAAAATCTTGTCGAACCCTGTGGGTTTGATTAAGATTACAGTTTTCTGCAAAAAAAAAGGCTCTAAAAATTACATTATCTTTACTTTTTATGATAATTTTATACTGTGATATGTACCGTTACTGTGAAGAGATTCAATTTATACCATGATATGAATTTGAGGTCAAACCGCCCAGCCCTAGGTGGACATCTTGATGTGGGCGGAGATGGCCCTACCTGTCATTGGCGGAGGTCTTGGTGTGGGCGTGTTTGACCTTAATCGTGATTGGCTTTCTAAAAGATAAGTTAATCCCTATTGGTCGGATTGACTTGTCTTGTGGGGTAACTTAAAAGGGCCAACTACACCCACAAATTAATAAACTCCTACTTAGTGACTGCAGAGACACCCTTCTCTACTGTTCTCTGGCTGTGTGTGTGTTAGTGCAGTGTTTGTCCGTAACGGTGGTCCTGTGTGCATGATATCTCCTGAATAAAATAATATTTACTTACAAATAGGCACAGTAACTCCATTACGGTAGTACTCAGTATGATTAGATTTGGGCATCAAAGGGTCAAAGGTCATTTATGATGATTGATTATATAAAACTGGCATTTTTTTCAAAAACAGACATGTCTGGGGCAGGAGGAGGCATAGTTCCACCTTATTTATTTCCTGCACTCACGACAGATTTTAACTAGTTTGTAATCATTCTTTTAACTTATTAGATTTTTATTGATGATGATATTTAAAAGCAAGGTTAAAATGTTGACGTAGTGAAGAAAAAGTTTAATATTTTTTGTAATATTTGCTTATAGTTTTAGAGTAATTTTGCCTTAAATGCACATTTTCCACTGTTGATGATGTTGATGTTAAGAGCCTGACAAGCTGATTTCAGTTATTAATTTGTTATTTTTTTCCACTCTGTAGCTGAGCCTGTGAACACGCTAACAGCTAACCAAAAAAAACCCCTTTGTATCTGATATGTTAAGAAAAGTACTTAAACCGTAGGAACATTATACATTTTAGGACCATGATATTTATTGAAACTGCAAATGTGAGCTTGAATTTGTCCCAGCAGAAAGCTGGAGTTCTGGCTCATTCCAGCTGTGATGACCTCTGACCTTTCTTGGTGACAGGATTACTAAAAGATAAGTTTATCCTGCAAAGGATCTGTAGTGACTCACGTAATCCCTGGCAGACACATGACGTGAGCAGAACTTTAAAGAAAGCTGCTTTTACTCTGTCTCTGGCAGAAATTTATTAAAGACAGGCTGAAATGCTGTGAGTTATTACTGCGTTATTAAAACAGGAAGCAGGAAAATTGTTTTTATCTCTGGAACATCACACCTCAACTGGAATAATCTCCCATCAAATTAGATCTGATGTTTATTCGGGTCAAGCTCTTTTTATGATGTAAAACTCATTCAAAAGTGCGTTTTTTATTCAATATTTTTAATTACCGTATTTATTCAAGTATAATATAAAAAATTTAATCCATGAAATCATCCATAAAGTTGGGGGAGGGGGGTTAGTATTATACTCAGATAAATATTTTTACCTATGTAATTTAATCGTCTGGAAATGAGAACGCATCGTAAAAAGCAGTTGAAACGAGCTTATCTGTGACACTACTTCGTGCTTCAGAGCGAGATAGTAACAGATCCAAGTAGGCAACATGATGTGAAAAAGGGGAGGGGGGTAGTCCTGCACTTTAGTAATGATAACGAACTAATGACATTAGCGTGTGACTGGGCCGCTCCTCGAACAACAACAAACATGTTCGTCTGTAATGGCTGCCGTCTACCGGTGTTCTGAAAAAGTTTGTATCCCTGAAAAAATGTTTCCCGACCAGAGGGGGCGCTCGCGAGTAGGAAGTAATCTGCTTTTGTCCCAGGAGATGGCCCAAATCTCATGTGAAGTCTCTGACTTTTGTGTTGGCACATCCTGGCGGACTATGTGTAAAATGCCAGAATTCATATGATGCTGCTACAGCTGATATATATTTGTTGTCAAAATACCTTTTAGTACATATGTTGTTAAAATAAAATGAACAGTCCAATGATCATTTTACTGACTGACAAAGACTGCAAAGGCTGAAAAATCTTGAAGTCTGTATGAAA